TTGCTTCTGTCGGCTACTGCTGGACCTGATGAGGGACATGCCGCGCTCGTACTGGGCGTCCACGATGCGCTTCACCTCGGCGTCCACCTTCGGGGATTCCGCAAAGGTGCGGTTGGGGACAAGGTGTGCTCTGCAACCCGCACGGAGGGTGGGCGGGCGAGGGCCCCCGACAGAGACCTCCGCCGCGCCCAGAGAGAGGGCGCACCAAACCTGCAGAGCAACGTGGTGGCCCCAGAGCCCCAACGGCGAGGATCGCAAACCACACCCAGGAGTACGGTCGCACCTTGGGACACCATGAGTAACATCCAAGCAGGATATGAGGCCCTCTGCCGGCCAGAACACCCCAGACCAGAAAGATCACTCGAGGGCACCCTCCCCCAGCACCCAGCGCGAATCCCAGAAACCTACGCGGAGCGCCAACAGTTTATGCTTCTGGCGTTTATTTCCTTCTTCGAGCAAGAGCATCCAACAAGCAGGAAGAACACCAGGGCACCCTCCCCGCGCCGACCTCTATCTCATACAGTCGGCCCGCACCGGCCCGTATCGTGAGGACGCAAGGGCCTTGGACGCCCACTCCGAAGCTCCTCGCGCGGGGCGCGGCCGACGGAAGCGGCCACGCACGGGCCGAGGAGGCAGGGCTGCGAGGGCGCCCTCGGGAAGGTTGCCCCTCCTTGCGCAGACGGGCGGACTGCACCTCGGCCCGACCGCGGCCGCACCAGCCCCCCCCGTTGCCGCCGCCGGCGCGCCTTCTCCCGCAGGCTCTGCGAGACCGGCGGGGCCCCGCCCCCGCCCATCATGTCGCGGCCCATGAACGGGTTGCCGCCGTCCTGCGGAGGGGCCCACGCCGCGCAGGCCCGCGCCCCCGAGCGCTCGGGCGGCGGCGCGGGGGCCTCGGGCGCCGCGTGGCCCGCTCGCGACGCGCAGGGGAGCGCGGCCCGCCGGCAGCTCGGAGCCCTCGGGGCCGCCGGCGGCGCGAAGGAGGAGCACCCGAGGTCGCCGCCTGCACGCCAGACGGGCCCCAGGCAAGGGGCGGCCTCGGCGGACCGCAGGACGGACCCCTGGGCCGGAGTGGCCTCTGGTGCGCCGGCTGCTCTGGGGGCCGCGGGGGGAGGGGGGCAAGCACAGGGGCGCCAAGACGCTACTGCCGCATCGCGCTGGGCGATCGGGGGGGGGCGAGTTGGCCTGCACCAGGGCTCACTCCGGCGACGGGCCACTCGTACGTGCAGTCGATGACCTTTGGAGTGCAGATTTCCTGGCCGCTGCGTGCGGAGCGACGGTCTTGCAGCAGCCCCCCGACTGCCTTGGGCGTTGCTTCAGCGGGGGCGATAGACTGGGGGGCGGAGAGACGTGCACCTGTCGTGCCCCTTTTTGAGCCCCAGGGGGCCCGTTTCGGGCACCAGGAGTGCACCCCTCTTCACCCCCATCCATACATCGCCCCCCCCCCCATGACGCAACGCACTCGGCTACACGCAAAAGTGACCCTGGGCAAGAGCGACCTGTGGTGCGCATCTGTCTGGGGCCGCGGGGATGCCGAACCGGGGCGCGCAGGCGCCGCTGCTACAGCACGAAAGGTCACTCCTGCGACAGGCCGCTCTTACGTATTGGGGGAACCAAGGGCACCGATACCGCTACTCCCTGGACCTCTCCCGGGGCGCGTGCTGACCAGACCTTCGAGGCGAAGCCAGCAGTGGCGACGAGGGCCTCCAAGGAGGCCCAAAAAAGGGGAGCACGGGCGAAAGGTAATAGGTACCCAACGGTCGGAAGAAGCAGGTAGAAACATGATGTAGGAAGGCGTTGAAATTAGATTGGGTGTCCGCCCGCCCCCTAAAGAGGACGGACAAGGTGGAGCCACTCGATGATTGAAGTAGGAAGGCGCTTGAAGCAGACTGGAATCTGGGAGCCCAAAAGTACCTAGTTGTAGGTTGGGCGAAAAATAGCACATCCCCCAAGGATGCCCAAGAATTGTTAAACATAAGATTACAGCATCGTCCCCTGACTATTTTTTGACACTTTTGACTATTCCTCCTGTAGAGGGACAGGCCCGCCTTAAACCTACTTTCAACGACCGATGGGTAGACGTCTCCTCTGACGTATGACCGACGCCCGACAGCCGCGCACCGACGGACCCTCCGGGGAGAGGCCCCTCTGACGCGCAACCGCTCGCGGCCGCTTCCGCCTTGAACGCCCGCGCCGGGTTCGCCCTCCCGTGGGGGGCGGCTCCCGCCGAAGGCGGCGGCAGCGCCAACGACGACGACACAGACAGAGGCGGGGACGAACAGGACTCCTCCTCCTCCTCCTCCTCCTCCTCCTCCTCCTCCTCCGCCTCCGCCTCCTCCTCCTCCTCCTCCTCCTCCTCCTCCTCCTCCTCCTCCTCCTCCTCCTCCTCCTCCTCCTCCTCCTCCTCCTCCTCCGCCTCCCCCTCCGCCTCCCCCTCCTCCTCCTCCTCCTCCTCCTCCTGCTCCTCCTCCTCGTCCTCGTCCTCCTCCTCCTCCTCCTCCTCCTCCTCCCCTCCTCCTCATCCCCCCTCTGCCTCCTCCCTCCTCCGCCTCCTCCTGCTGGTCCTCCTCCTCCTCGTCCTCCTCCTCCTCCTCCTCCTCCTCCTGCTCGGCGGCAGCGCCGCCGACGACCACGACGACAAGGACAGGGGCGGGGACGAGCACGACGACGACGAGGGCGAGGAGGAGGAGCAAGCCGAACCCGCAGGCCCGGGCCCCCTTCGGGCAATGATCAAGCAGGACGGGAGGCGTCTCCAACTTTCGCTCCTCGGGAGGCCCCTGCCGGCCCTCGAGACCGTCAATAGGCCAGCGCGTTCCACTACTCGCAGAGCCACTACAGTCGAGGTCTTGACCTAAGGAACCCTAAATAAGGAACGAGGCCCCTTTTTTCCATAAGTTAAGCTTCGATTTCCCATCGAAAACATAAGGAAACCCTGAGGCAAGCTGCGAAACAATCAAGGAACACCGAGCCCCTCCCCAACAAAAAGGATTCCTTCCTCAGGGCCCCAGCTGTACTCGCAAATGGCCCGGATCCGCCGTGGGAAATGTCCGACATATCTTTCATCGAAGAGAACGAGGGTTTTTCGGATGTTTGCGAGTAGGCACTTTGCGAGTCGTGGAACGCGCTCGGTGAGTCCAACAACGACTCATGATGGAAAACCGGTCCAGGGGAAGGGGTCGAGGCCTCTGAGGGTCGACGTTGTGACGAAATCATGACGTCGGGGGTCTGGGGTGGCAGATGGAGAGCATGATAGGGAGGCTATCGCGGCCGATAGACGGGCGTCCTGCCCGCCAACGACGCGCTGGCCGATGACATCGGACATGCCCAGCTGCGAGACCATCGCGTTGGCCACCTGGGTGCACTGCTGGAAGTCGTTCGAAGCACCAGTGGTGACGTTGTCTTTGCCGTTGATGATTTCCTCCGCGATGCGGCCACCCAGCGCGACACACATGCGATTCTCCAGGAACTCCTTGGAGTAGAGCCCCGAGTTCAAGCGGTCCTCCGTCGGCATGAAGATGGTCACGCCGCCAGCAGGGCCTCGAGGAACAATGCTGATCTTCGCCACAACGTCGTAGTCGTTCATCAGCGCGCCGAGGATGGCGTGGCCCGCCTCGTGGTACGCCACCAGGCGCCTCTTCTTCTCGGACATGACGCCGTCCTTCTTCTCAAGTCCGATCTGGATGCGCTCCAGGGCGCTCGCAATGTCGTCCTGCTCTATCTCGGAGGCGTTGCGCCTGGCTGCCAGGATGGCCCCTTCATTGAGCAAGTTGGCCAGGTCAGCGCCAGACATGCCGGGCGTCTGGCGCGCCACCATGCCGAGGTCGACCGAGGGCGCCAGCGACTTGTCCTTCGCATGCACCTTGAGAATGGCGGCTCGGCCCTCCACATCAGGCGGGTCCACCTGGATCTTGCGGTCAAAACGACCGGGACGTGTCAGGGCGTTGTCCAGCACGTCAGCGCGATTGGTCGCCGCGAGCACCACCACGCCGTTGTTGGCCTCGAAGCCGTCCATCTCGGTGAGCAGCTGGTTCACAGTCTGCTCTCTCTCATCGTTGCCCTGCCCGAAGCCCGCACTGCGCTGGCGCCCCACGGCGTCGATCTCGTCGATGAAGATGATGCACGGGGCGTTCTTCTTCGCGTCCGCGAAGAGGTCGCGGACGCGGGAGGCGCCGATGCCGGCGAAGACCTCGACAAACTCGGCGGCCGATACGCTGAAGAAGGGCACGCCTGCCTCGCCTGCCACGGCCTTCGCGAGCAGCGTCTTGCCAGTGCCAGGGGGACCGACCAGCAGCGCGCCCTTGGGGATCTTGGCGCCGAGCTCCGCGTAGCGAGACGTGTTCTTCAAGAAGTCCACCACCTCGACCAGCTCCTCCTTGGCCTGGTCGCACCCGGCCACGTCTGGGAACTTCACCTTGGTGTCGCCGTCCTTGATGATCTTGGCGGGGGACTTGCCGAGCTGGAACGGATTCTGGCCCATCGGGCCGGCTGGCCCGCCGGCGCCGGTGCCGCCGAAGAGCAGCAGCAGGCCGGCGATGAGCCACGCGATGGGGCCCGCGAAGCGCCCCAGGAACTCGAAGGGGCCGCCGTTGGACGCGTTGGCGTTCTGCATCACGACGTCGACCTTCTTCTCCGCGAGCTGGCTGAAGAGCTGGTCCTGCACTTAAGCGGGCCCTGGAAGCGACAAGGCCGCTTTTGTACCGGTTCCGTTTTGCCGTTTGTTGCCGGTTCCGACGCGTTGTTTTACCGGTTCCGTCTCCGTTTTTGGACGTGTTCCGGCTCCGGTTCCAATCCTGGAGCCGTTTGTTTGCCGTTTCCGGTCGCCGTTTTTCTGCCGCTTCCGTGTTCAAGGGACATTTTGTTGGAAACGGTGAAAAAGGGCCCTGCTGTTCCCGGGGCCCACAAAGGTCCTGCACCTGCATGTTGGGCACCAGGGCGAGCTCGTGGCGCGACCCGTCCTTCGAGGTGTACTGCGCGGTCAGCATGTCGTTCTGCACGCGGACCATCTCCACGTTGCCCGCGTTGACCTGGTCGAGGAACTCGGAGTAGGTGACCTGGTCCAGCGCATTCGCCTCGGGGGCAAAACACACACACACACACAAAAACACACACACACACACAAAATCACCGGACAGCTCGCCCCTTGGCCCCCCGCCAGCCCCACGCCAAGGGGCGAGCATATATACGGGCGCAGCACCTCGCTGGAGGCGTAGCCGTCGGCTGGGCCGACCATGCAGATGATGCATCGCGTGGCGGCTGGATGCCCGGGCCGAGCACAGAGCTCTTCTCGGTTCCTCCCTCCTCTTCCTCCTCCTCCTCCTCCTCTTCCACCTCCTCCTCCTCCTCCTACGACTCCTCCACTTCCACCTCCTCCTCCCTTCTGCCGCCTCCTCATCCCGTCCGCGTCCTCCGCCCTCGAGCTGATCTCCCCCCCCCGTCGTCCATTTTCAATGAAATCCTCCTCCCGCCGCCTCTTGCCTTGTCCTCCGCCTCCTTCCTCCTCGTCGGCCTCCTCGTCCAGCGCCTTCCTCTTCCCCTTGCCACTCTCCTTGCGAGCACCCTTTCCACGATCTCCGTGCCCTCCTTCCACCCCTCCTCCTCCCTCGTCCTCCTTCCATCGCCTCATCCCCGCCGTCATAATCCTCATCGTCATCATCCTCATCCTCATCCTCATCCTCATCCTCATCCTCATCATCATCATCATCATCATCATCATCGTCCTCCTCAGCATCAGCACCATGATCATCATGATCATCATCATCATCATCATCATCATCATCATCATCCATGCTCCTCCTCCTCCTCCTCCTGCTCCTGCCCCCTCCTCTTCGTCGTGGGTGCCATCTCTGCTCAAACTGCACAAGCCGCCCCCGTGCGAGAGCCCTTCCGCACTCTCCCGGTAGAAATTATGGTAGAAATGGCACCGGCCGTCGCCGCCACGATGATTGCGCAGCGTTTCCACCCTAGAAAGTGCTCACAGTTCCGCAGTGAAGTCAGGCAGTGACAATTGCTCAGCTGCTGTTTCGGCCAAGCCGCCGATCGTGTCCAGCACAGCTGCTTCGGGAGACCCCCGTTTCAGCAACAGCTCTGCAAGGACCGACTGAAAATGTCGAAGCGCATTGGCTTCGAGCGGTGGCCATTTCGCAGCTTCGTATTCTTTCCGTGCCAACAAAGACCGGCTCTGGTTGATCTTGGCCAACCGGTCGAAATTCAAGCCACGTTCCAAAGCAAGACCAGTCAAGGCAGGCACCCGAGACAAGACGGTAAACGTACCGCCCAGATGCATTTCCGTGTCGCCCAAGTTTGCAGCAACACAAGGAATTGTCATGCCCTGGGACTTGTGCATCGTGGCTTAAAACTGCCACCCGAAATATCCTCACCCGCTGGCTTAAAACTGCCACCGAAATATCCTCACCCGAGATATACTCACCCGCTGGCCTAAAACTGCCACCCGAGATATCCTCACCCGCTGGCTTAAAACTGCCACCGAAATATCCTCACCCGCTGGCTTAAAACTGCCACCGAAATATCCTCACCCGCTGGCTTAAAACTGCCACCCGAGATATCCTCACCCGCTGGCTTAAAACTGCCACGCGAAATATCCTCACCCGCTGGCTTAAAACTGCCACCCGAAATATCCTCACCCGTTGGCTTAAAACTGCCACCAAAATATCCTCACCCGAGATATCCTCACCCGCTGGCTTAAAACTTCCACCGAAATATCCTCACCCGCTGGCTTAAAACTGCCACCCGAGATATCCTCACCCGCTGGCTTAAAACTGCCACCCGAGATATCCTCACCCGCTGGCTTAAACCTGCCACCCGAGATATCCTCACCCGCTGGCGCTTAAAACTGCCACCCGAAATATCCTCATCCGAAATATCTTCACCCGCTGGCTTAAAACTGCCACGCGAGATATCCTCACCCGCTGGCGTAAAACTGCCACGCGAAATATCCTCACCCGAGATATGCTCACCCGCTGGCTTAAAACTGCCACCGAAATATCCTCACCCGAGATATGCTCACCCGCTGGCTTAAAACTGCCACCGAAACATCCTCACCCGCTGGCGCTTAAAACTGCCACCCGAAATATCCTCTCACCCGCTGGCTTAAAACTGCCACGCAAAATATCCTCACCCGCTGGCTTAAAACCGCCACCCGAAATATCCTCACCCGTTGGCTTAAAACTGCCACCAAAATATCCTCACCCGAGATATCCTCACCCGCTGGCTTAAAACTTCCACCGAAATATCCTCACCCGCTGGCTTAAAACTGCCACCCGATATATCCTCACCCGCTGGCTTAAAACTGCCACCCGAGATATCCTCACCCGCTGGCTTAAACCTGCCACCCGAAATATCCTCACCCGCTGGCTTAAAACAGCCACCCGAAATAACCTCATCCGAAATATCTTCACCCGCTGGCTAAAAACTGCCACGCGAGATATCCTCACCCGCTGGCCGTAAAAACTACACCCTAAATAATCTCACCCGCGGCGTAAAACTAGCCACCGAAATATCCGCACACCGAGATATCCCACCCGTCGGCATAACACTGCACCGAAACATCTCACCCCTGGCGCTTTAAAAACGGCCACCGAAATATCCTCACCCGCTGGCATAAAACTTCCACCAAGAAATATGCTCACCACTGCATTAAAACTGCAACCCGAAATATCCTCACCCCTGGCATAAAACTGCCACCCAAATAATCACACGTCCGCTGGCTTTAAAAACAGCCAACCCGAAATATCCTCACCCGCGGACATAAAACTGCCACCCAAATATTCTCACCCGCTGGCTTAAAACTGCCACCCGAGATATCCTCACCCGCTGGCTTAAAACTGCCACCCGAGATATCCTCACCCGCTGGCTTAAACCTGCCACCCGAAATATCCTCACCCGCTGTCTTAAAACAGCCACCCGAAATATCCTCATCCGAAATATCTTCACCCGCTGGCTTAAAACTGCCACGCGAGATATCCTCACCCGCTGGCTTAAACCTGCCACCCGAAATATCCTCACCCGCTGGCGTAAAACTGCCACCGAAATATCCTCTCAAGCGCCCTGGCTTAAAACTGCCACCGAAATATTAAAACTGCCACCCGAAATATCCTCACCCGCGGAAATAAAACTGCCATCTAACGGCCTGGTGGTTCAGTTCAGTCTGTCAGTGTCTACCTCGCGAGAATCAAATTACGGGCTGCGCCCGTAAAACACACACTGTGGGAAAAACACACACGCACATACACGTGGGACAATAAATACACTTGTGGGAAAACACACACACAAACACACACACACACATACACACACACACACTGTGGGAAAAACACACACACAAAGCACGGGGAACATGTCCATATCAACGGCCTCGCGGTCGGGACCCAAGGGCCGCGACCCCGCGGACGAAGGGCGGCCTCTGCGAGGACGCCCCGCGCCAGGCGCGTCCACCGGATCGCGCCTCGGCATCCAGGCCGCAAGGGCATGGATATGCCATGCGTTGGTCCCCCGTGGTCGCCGGCTGCAGGTTCACCGTGAGCGCCAGCAGCATGGATCGGCGGTTCAGAGAGGGGGCCCTGAGGGATCGGGCCCTGAGCTGAACCTTCACCGTTCGAGACCATTCGTTTTAACTCGGGCATGTCCTCCTACAGGCGGGCTTTGGAAGACAAGACTCAAATACTCAAAAACATAAACAAACATCGACACAAAAGTCGAACAACCGTCCCCAGGCTATCTTTTACTTTTCCCTCCTGTCCTTGAAAACAGTCCTCCTGTAGAGGGACACGCCCGACTCCACGCTCGTCCTCGGAGCCCCAGCCCCCCGGGCCGCCCCTCTGAGCCGCCGAATGGACGCCAGCGCGCTGGCGCACCAGCGCAGCTGCCCCTCGGCTGCGCCCCCCATGCCGGCCGCGGCGGCGGCGAACGCCTGCTCGGCGGAGGTGCCGCGCTGCCGCCCCGCGCGGAGCTCCTCGGCCGCCGCCGACTGCACCCGGCGGACGAAGGCCGCGTCCGCGCTGCCCGGCCGAGCGATCAGCTCCGCGGCAAGGCCCTGCAGCTGCTCGGAGCCTGGGGAGGAGGAGGAGGAGGAGGAGGAGGAGGAGGAGGAGGAGGAGGAGGTAGGATGAGGAGGAATGCTACGTGAGCTATCCTGAGGAGAAATTAAAGGTGGAGGAGAAGGAGGAGGAGGAGGCGTAGAGGTGTGAGGAGGATGAGGAGGAGGATGATAGTAGGAGGAGGAGGAAAAGCGGGAGGAGGAGGAGGAGGAGGGAAAAGCCAGGAGGAGGAGGGGGGGTATAAGGAGGAGGATAAAGTAGGAGGAGGAGGAGGAGGAGGAGGAGGAAGGGAGAGAGGAGGAGGAGGAGGAGATAGTGGAGAGGAGGAGGATGAGGCGGAGGAGGATGGGTGGAGTAGGAGGGAGGTGGAGGAGGATGGAGGAGGCGAGGAAGGCGAAGGAGTATGAGATATGAGGAGGAGGAGGAGGAGGAGGGAACAGAGGAGGAGGCGGCGAAGGAGGAGGTGGGAACAGGAGGAGGAGGAGGAGGAGGAGGAGGTGGAGGAGGAGGAGAACAAATAGGAGAAAAAGGAGCAGGAGGAGGAGGAGGAGGAGGAGGAGGAGGAGGAGGAGGAGGACGGAGGAAGCGGAGGAGGCGGAGCAGGAGGCACATGATAAGGAGGAGGAGGAGGAGGAGGAGGAGGAGGAGCAGGATCGGTAGGTGTCAAGTGGAGCAAGCAATGACACAAGCAGAACCTTTCGGAGGTCCGCGCGGATTTCTTGGATCGGCGCTGGACATCCCCCCTGGTTGCGCGGAGCTCGTCGGAGGCGGCGCCAAAAGTGCCGCCAAGGGGCTCCAGCGCCGATCCAAGAAATCCGCGCCAACCTCCGGAAATTTACAAGTATACGTCTGTTCTGCTTGATCCTGGAGTATCGAAGGAGGGACACGGTGAGACAACGGCGCTTCTCCCACCTGGAAGAACTCCGCTCAAAACCAGCCATCAGACCCCT